AGATTATTATTGCACCATGGTGACTGCACATTCTCCCCAAGACAGACAACTGATAACAGACCTTGCGAGTAGCCATAAAATATCACATCCCAACAAATGGGCACCCAGGTAACTCCACCCAGTACTGCCTCCTCTAGGCCCCTGTCATCCCGTAGAAGGCCCGAAAAGAAGGGGATTTACAAGAAAATCTATGGTAGTTTTCACTGGGAGCCCGCAGTTTGTGGCAGGAAATGGGAACGGATTTATTTGGGTTTTTTGCGGGGTTGGGGTCGTATGGGGTGGTTAGGGGGGTGTGTGTTGGGGAGGGGTCAGCACACCGTATATCCCCACTGCTGTAGGAAAATCTGGGGGCATCTCTGGGAAGGCACCTGAAGACAGAGTAGAAACTCACATTTTGTTCTCCATGTAGGAACTTCTCATACCTGATTCTCTCCTGTGGCAAAGGATTATTATAAAATATGATGTTTGCTGGAAGTTTTTTGGGTTTTTTTTTTTTTTTTTTTTTGAGACGGAGTCTCACTCTGTCCCCCAGGATGGAGTGCAGTAGCGCGATCTCGGCTCACTACAACTTCCGCCTCTCGGGCTCAAGCGATTCTCCTGCCTCGGCCTCAGGAGTAGCTGGGATTACAGGCATGCGCCACCGTGCCTTGTTAAGTTTTGTATTTTTAGTAAAGATGTGATATCTCTGCGTTAGTCAGCCTGGTCTCAAAGTCCCAACCTCAGGTGATTCGCCCACCTCAGCCTCCCAAAGTGCTGGGATTAGAGGCATGAGCCGCAGCGCCCGGCCTCTATGTAGCTTTTTACAAATCCTTGTAGCTATCTCATTTAGGAATAAAATGGAAGGCAGATATTTCTGACACAGTTCCCAGCTTGACTTTTCTCTTTGGCTTAGTAATTTTTATTTTGCTTTCACATGCTTGTGACTGACATAATGCTCTGACACAGATATTGTTTTATGTAGATTTTTCCAAACTAGTAAAGTCCAAGGGTCTGTCATGAACTGGGTTATGGGAGACGAGAAGATTCCCAGGAGACTCCTGGTCTCAACCAATCCTCCCACCTCAGCCTCCCAAAGTGCGAGGACCACAGGTGTGATCCACTGAACCCAGTGGAGTTAAAAAAAAAAAAAAAAAAAAGCAACACACAAATTAAGGTACTCTATGGAATTACATCATTTGACTTTTTTTTGAAATGAAAAGTCTCATATATTCATTACTGACCCCAGCCAAACAATGGGTTCATAACAGATTCAGAGAGAAAAAATATATTCCCAATAAAACATGTCCAACTCTCCAGATGGTGGTGACATTTTCAGCTTGATATGGTAACGTGATTGAGACACTCAGACAGCATAAATATGTGTGCCATCTCATATGCAATTCCTTATAGACCTAGCTTGGTTCTTCTCCAAAGTCTCCTTTTAAAGTTGTACCTGTTTTCTTACCAGTTTTGATCTGAATCCACTGGGGCATGGAACGATTTTGCTTTTGTTTCTTGGTCAGGAATCGCTTATTCCTGAAAGTCTTACAAGAAGATCTGGCGAGAAGCGGAGTCAAGTACACACACCACGAGAGGAGAGAGGAAGAGAAGGGGCTTGATATCTTTTTTTTTTTTTTCTTTTTGAGACAAAATTTCGCTCTTGTTGCCCAGGCTGGAGTGCAATGGTGCCATCTCAGCTCACTGCAACCTCCGCCACCCGGGTTCCAGCGATTCTCCAGCCTCAGCCTGCTGAGTAACTGGGATTACTGGCACCTGCCACCATACCCAGTTAATTTTTGTATTTTTAGTAGAGACGGGGTTTCACCATTTTAACCAGCCTGTTCTTGAACTCCTGAATACTATTTCTGCTGTTACCTGTCAGTCCTCTTCATTGCGGCACACACAAGCTTAATTTTTTTTTTTTTTAAACTGATGTGGGCCAGATGTGCTGGCTCATGCCTGTAATCCCAGCACTTTGGGAGGCCAAGGTGGGTGGATCACAAGGTCAGGAGTTCAAGATCAATCTGGCCAATATGGTGAAACCCCATCTCTACTAAAAACACAAAAATTAGCCGTGTGTGGTGGCGTGAACCCACTAGGGAGGTAGAGACAGGAGAATCACTTCAATCCAGGAAGCAGAGGTTGCAGTGAGCCAAGATCACACCACTGCACCCCAACCTGGTCAACAGATCAGGACACTGTCTCAAAACAAACAAAGAAACAAAAGAAAACAAAAAACTGATGTGGATGGTGTGCTTGCTGCTCCTTGCATCACCTTCAACACTGTCTTGTCCCGATTCAAATGAGTTATCCATTTACAAACTGTTTATTTCTTTTGGGCATCATCTCCATAACCTTTTCATAAAGCATCAATGATTATATTATTCCTCTTCCCAAACTTTCCCATAATTATTCTTTTATTGAGACAGTATCTTGCTCCATCACCCATGCTGGAGTGCAGTGGCATGACCACAGCTCCCTGCAGCCTCAACCTCCCAGGCTGAAGCCATCCTCCCACCGCAGACTCCACAGTAGCAGGCCCTGCAGTCATATGCCACCATGACCAGCTAATTTTTGTATTTTTTGTAGACAAGGTGGTTTCACCATGTTGCCCAGGCTGGTCTTAAATACCTGGGCTCACGTGACCCACCTGTCTTGGCCTCTGAAAGTGCTGAGATTAACCGCCTGAGACACTGCATCTGATCTCATCATAAATTTGATGTTTCTTCTTGCTTCAATTTTAGCAGAATTTATATTGCTTTGATAGAATCTCTTTTCAAACTCATGTCTTATCCTTCTGAGTGCCTTAAACTAGAACCTGTTCAGACATGTTATAACAGATTTGTACCAGTTTATTTTGGTGCAAAAACTGTGAAATTCATGTACAATTTTCTCAAAATACTTATTTTTCCATGAATTTCTCCAAGATTGCTTGCACTAGAAAACTGTATTCAAGAGGACATTAAAAAAAAAATGTAGATATTCACGTGACACTTATTTCTGGGATGCAAGGAAGGTTCAACATATTCAAGCAAATCAATGTGATATGCCACTTGAACAGAAAGAAAGATGAAAACCACATAACCATAATCCTTAATGATATAGAAAAAGCATTCAGAAAATATCAAAATCCCATCATCATAGAAATCCTAAACAAAATAGATAGAGAAAGGAAAGTACCGTCAACACAATAGATAAGCACCATCTGTGTAAATGACCCATGAAAATAGCCAAGGCAGGAAAATGGATGCTTTTCCTGTAAGACTCAAAA